GTCTTGCATTCATTTCTCCCTCGTAATGTTTGATGTCAAACTACCCTCCCTCCCTCCCTCCCTCCCTCCTCAACCCCCCTTCCTCAAACCACAACACAACCTCTCCCTTAACCTTAAAACAGCACGCCCACCACGTCGATCATCCACACACAGTTCCACACACAGTTCCACACACAGTTCCACACACAGTCTCCCCTCCTTAACCCAAACCATCTCGCCGACCGACCGAAGAAAGCCGCCATGCCATGAAATAAATGGAGCCTTTCTTTCTTTCCTTCTCTCTACCTAAACTCGAACTTTCGTAGACGGACCGGAAGGCCTCTTTTGCAAAAATTAAAAAATTCCTCTGATCGGTTCTTGCCCCCCACTTTCCATTTCCATCGTGATGCGTACATACTCGTTGTAAGGTGTAAGATGTAAGATGTAAGAAGTAAGAAGTGAGAAGTAAGAGGGGGAGGAATGGATTATGGGTGGATTGCGTACACGCATACTGCGCCCTTTACTTTTCTTTTCTCTACTTTTCTTTACTCTGCATCTGCATCTCTTTCTGCGAATTTTGATGGTGGATGATGGATGATGGATGATGGTGCATGTGGATTGGGTTGTTTCATTCGTATCCATCCATATCCAATATCCATCAAGTCCCAGTATCTCATCAAATCTTACCCGTTTACTTACGCAGTACATCCATCCATTCATACACACATCCATACACATGAAAATAAACCTATAAGCGTGTAGGTAGATAGATACACAGTAAAAAGTAGGCAGAAACTATCCAACTCAAGGTCTGCGTACACCTCTCTTCTCATTCGTCATCATTCCCTCATTCTCTCCAATCATATCTAGGTATGCATACCAAGAAGTATCCTTTTTGTGAACTAAGCCCCCCTCTCCCTCGTTCGTCGAATGATATTAGAAGTGATGTGGGAAATGTCATATGTAAGATTACTAGGTACGTACGAGAGGTTGTATGTATAGATTCTGGATTCTGTACTGATATTCTATCCTCTGTTCTCTGTTCTCTACCATACACCGTTTGGAAATTTCGGAGTACAGATTACCCAGTAGCTACCTAGTAGGTAGTGTAGTAAATAATAGGTAGTCGTTTCTTCCTAGTATTCATCACCATCCATCCATTTATCCCCGCGCCTTCCACTCCCTCCTATCCCCCTGTTCATGAAATGTTTACTACCATCCGTATGACTCACAAATTCACAATCACTGCTGCATACCTACCTAGTCCAGTACTGGTACGTACCGATGGCGACTGCATACCTACCGTGCCTCCGTGCCTACCATCCACTCACTACTCCCACTCACTCAAACTAGGTAGCTAGGTAACTCAAACAATCAAACACAAACTACGGTATGAAACTATGAAACGAATGTCAACCCCCATTTCATTCCCCTCCCCCCCTCTCGATTTCTAAGCAGAAAAGTATAATGTACAGGCAGGGTATGTAAGAAATTGAATTAAATCTCATTCATTCATTTATTCATTCATCAATTCATCCCGCGAAGTTTATTGGAGAATTGGAAAGCTGGCGCCTGGGTATATCTATATCTACATTCTACAATCTGCATTCTACATCCCTCTATATTCTACGAGTACGTCAAATCAAATCAAATCAAGACTGCAGAATCCAGATACCTTATTACCATCTACTAGGTAGGTAGTGGACTCATATTTTTGCTTACAAAATTGTGCAGCTACCGGTTTTTATGTATGTAGGTATGTAGGTATGTATGTACTAGGTATGCGTACTCGTTGTCATCTACCGTATTGGATTGGATTGAACTGCTTATTTGTATCTGCATCTGCATCTGCCTATGTATAGAATTCATAGGTAGGTAGGTAAATTATCGAAATCGAAACCAGCGAGCGATCTTGAGGCTTAAATATATTACATTTTTCAATTTTTGTTTTCAATTTTTCTTTTTCTTTTTCTTTTCTACTTGCGTAGATGGGATGAAATTGCTTGATGAGGATACGCCACGTGATCTTCACGTGGATTATTGGGATTACAATGAAGTTCGCCGTTATCTCATCCTCAGACCACACGGTGATTACATAATTTTTGGCCTTTATTTCGAGGCAGGGGCCTCCCGAAGGTTTATCACCGTAGGTAAACGTCCCCCGATCCCTGATTGGCCGAAAAAATTCGATCATTAGTAAGCAGCCAACAACACCAATACCAAAAAGATCAATAGATATGATTCAGAATTCAATAAGAAACGTTCTATGGACGAAGAGGGTCTGAATATTGAGATAAGCCGCAGTTCAATTTTTCTCTCGGGAGATTGTGAGGTTTAGTTTTTTTTGATTATTTTCATTGATTGTTTTTTTTGGTCTAAATTTACTTTATACTTTATTTGACTTTCTGTCTATCATTAGTTATAGTTTTATGTTTTCAAGGGTTTCATACTCTATTGTTGGATACCTAGTAGTTAGATACTTGGATAGGGCTGAATGCGGGGTCTTCGTTTGAAGTATTTGAATGATTTGAATGAGTCATTGATAGTAAGGTCGTGGGGTATATCTATACCTATATCGAAAATGGGAATAGGAAAGGGATGATGGAAAGTTTATGTTTATTATTATGATCGCAAGGTTAATGTGTTTGAACTTTATTGAAGGTTAGCCTAGCTAGCTGGGAAAGTGTATTTTGACGTCTGCTCTAGTTTTGATTACTAGTGTGGTGTGGTGTGGTGGATGGTTGGGAGGTGAGTAGAGTAGAGAAGAGAAGAGTATATATAGTGTATATTCTATTCTATTGCTTGTTGAAGTACTTCTTGAGTGTTTAGGTGTGCGGTAGTACTGTGATTGAGGGTTTGAGAGTCTTTGCGGGAGATGAGGAGAGATATTAGGTGCTGGTTGGTGGTGCTGGTGCCTGCGCTTTGGGTTTGTAGACTCTTTCTTGAGTGGTGTTTTGGGGGTTGGTGGGATTTTTTGAGTGCGTGGGATTGTATTTTCTTGGGTGGCTTATTAACCGTGATGTAAGATAGTAAGTAGTGTTCTCTGTTGCAGATTTTCTACGTGCTTGCTTTGGGCGACTTCTTCCTTGAGTAGTGTTTTGGGGTTTGGTTGAATGGCATTTGAGCTCTTGGGATTGCATGTTTTTTGTGCGAGTTACTCTTTGTACTGGACTGGACTGGACTGGACTGGGCTGGACTTTTGCTATCTTTTGCATACTTTCTACGTGCTTGCTTTGGGTGAGTTCATTTTTGACTGGTATTTTGGGGTTTGGTTGGATTTTTCATGAGTTTGTAGGATCACACAGTGAGCTACTCTGTCCTGTCCCTATCCATTCCACATCCTCTTCATATTTGGGGGAGAGTTGTGTATAGCAGTTCTTCTTCGATCGTCTCGAGCCTCCATGACCTACGCAAAATGTTCGTTTGAATGCGCAAAGATCATTGTTCTTTACCCTACTAAGTCCATGGGCTTAGCATACTCATAGAAGGTGGTCATACTATAGAAGAGTAACAACCCCACTGCAATTCCAAAGCATATGAGGATCTAAGAATGTTTTCATAGCCTGAACTTAAACGGTAATTGATGTAAGTCTTACATGCCACTATGTCGAATTATTTACTTAGCTGATTTACTCACGTCCGAGTACCACTCTTCTCCGCATGATTGACCCAGGTTCGAGATGATGAAAGAATATGTGAGAATGGTTCTTTATATCGCAATATTCTTGCTGGTTTTATCTTGCATCGAAGGGAACTTCAAGGTCAGAGTTTTGTGTTTGATTAGGGGGTCAATACCGACTGTGAAGATTACCTCATTTGCATCGGTCGTGTTGCTTTACTTGAATATATACCATCGATCAGCTTTAGGATTCTCAAATGATGAACCGCTCATAATCTTCGACTCTTGCATTTGTATTGTTGAGTAACTTGATGGCTTTATCCACACAGCAAAAGAGATACACCCTAATCACTCACACAATACCATACATTGAGAACACTAACAGTCAAATATCCAGTAAAATAGAATCAATAACGGATCAAATATATGACCGATATAAATTCTGGCTAACTGCAGAGCTTTCTAATACATGAATTTAGATTTGAACCCAAATTAATGATTGTTCGATTTGATATCAATTATTGAAGAGACTACCTAGGTAATTGTGTATGTTGATATCCCGTCCCCGTCCTTGCTGGGTGGTGGGGGTGGGGTGATTTCAATGAGGTCTGTGCATCGAGCCTCCCCTTGGAACTTCAACGTTCGTGCACTTTTTATTGTTGACTTCACCTCAACTCTCGAACTATTACACCACAATCCAAACTTCGAAAATAATTCACGACATCACCCTTTCTTCAGCTCTCTATATAAGATCTTTAAATCTGCTAGAAATAATGGGTACTCTAGATATTCATTCCAGCGTTCAACATGTTTTCTGGCTGTCGCAGCAATGGGGGTTTGTGAGCAGCGCCTACTGGCAAAGGATGATCCAGCGATAGAGAATTTGACCTGGCCCTTGTACATGCATGTCGGAAAAATCTTCAGCTGAAGATTTTGGGCGCAGCATATACCAGATAGATCGTGCTCAACAAAGCCTGGCGAATCTTATTTGCAGTGGTGTATGCCAGATGTTCTTGACTCCTACTGCTTCGGTCCACCGCCTTAATTTTGCCACCAACCATGGCACATCCCCACCCCTCTTGCTATCAGCCTGTTCATAGGTACCTCAACGTGGCGGAGGGATGAATGGATTTTCATTAACACTGCCTCAAAGCCATGCCAGTTTGAAAAATCTGCATTGATCAATATGTTCTCATCATGCCTGATAAGACTTGCTGAACGATGCATCTGATTCTCATGTCGAAAACCTCACCCACCAGCTTCATTCTCAAAATCCAGGGCGATCAGGACTCAAAATCTACCTATTTCGATAGACCATATCACCATTTACAGCATCAGGAAAGAAGTCAGACTTTCATATCTTGAGCTTTCCATGAACACTGAATTGCAAAACAATTCCTAAATGGATCCATACCAGTATCAACGGATCAATCTTGGTCGACCTTCTATTCGACTTCTCCAACTCTACAAAGGGGACTGGTCCGAGAAGATTCAAGGCCATTTTGTTAGTGCCTGGTTTGACGAGCCTGATAGTATCATACCATATCTTGCATTGTCTTATACCTGGGGTAACATTGACAAAGTGGAAGAGGTTATAATCGACAGCGCCAGAATCAAAGTGACTTCCAATTTACATATGGCACTTCAGCATCTAAGATCTGGGGAAGAGGATCAGATTTTTTGGATTGATGCTTTGTGTATCAATCAGGAAAATGTCCATGAAAAAATTCATCAAATCAGACAGATGGGCGACATATACAAGAAGGCCGAAAAGGTCGTGGTTTGGTTGGGCCAAGGGACTGAAGAAACTGATCTTGTGATGGATTCCATGAAGCGGCTGCGGAAGGCGAGTTTAGGTTGGAATTCAGCAGAGTGGAAAGATAAGGCCAATGGTTGGGTCGATGAAAATAATGAACACTTGGAAAATTCGCGCGAGCAAATGAGATTAATATTGCAACGACCATGGTTTCGAAGAATCTGGATCTTACAAGAAGTTGCCAATGCTCGGCGAGCAACGACAGTACATTGTGGTAATAGATCCATCACCGTTACGATCTTCTCCCAGTTTCCGGCTCTGATTGCTTTAACCCCCGCTGTACATTGCCAATCAGTTCTGGATATAATGCCTGGAATTTTGCGGAAAGAGACTTGGTGGAGGCAAGGCCAAAAGCTTCAAACGTTACTAGTAAAGTTCCGCGAAAGCGAGGCAACTGATGATCGAGATAAGATATATGCATTACTGGGTATATCTTCAGACGCACATAGGAGTAACATCTTAGATCCAAAGTGTGATAAGTCCTCACAACAGGTCATCCGAGAAGCTGTCTCATTCATACTGTCTGAGAAATATCCTCAATTAAAAGATGATGCGTCACTCTATCAGTTTCTTGACTGGAATTCGACAAAGTTTTTAGACAATGTAGAAGATTTAGAAGGTGCTATGTTGACGGATGCGTTCCAAGGAGCAGAAGAGGAATTCTTAAAGCTATTCATTGAAACAGATGTGTGTCAAATTAGCTCGAGAGGCTTTCATGATCGAGTTCCGGTGCATTGGGCCATTCAAAAAGACCGGCTCACCATTTTAAAGATGTTACTTGACGCATATCTGTGTAGTTTCGAGAAGAAAGATTCAGATAAGCAAAAACCCTTGTCGTTAGCTATTCAAGCAGGAAACGCTAGAATTGTCGAGCTAGTCCTCAATGCGGGCATAGACATTGAGGCAACATGTTTCAACGGTTTTACACCGCTGTTTCTTGCTATTGAGAAGAACAACATCGAAATTGTTGAGCTTCTTCTTCGGAAAGGTGCGAAATGTAAAGCACAGAATATGAGTAGCTCCATTCTATTATCACAAGAAAGCAATAGATCTGGCCAGTCCATATCTCCAACTTCAAGTTCTAAAAATCAACTTCCATTACCATTTGCAATTGAAAAAGGGAATTACGGTATCTCTAAATTGTTGTTTGACCGTGGTGCTTCTCTTAGAGATGGGGGCCCATCGTCAGATATTGAATGTGGAGTCGACAAGATGGTCGAGTTCTTGATCGATCACGGTATTGGCACAGACGAACCAAAGCCCGGAATGCGTCTACAGTTGGCCGCTAAGCTTGGAAACGTCAAACTTACCGGGGAATTCATCAAGAGGGGTTTTGCGCTTGAGAGTAAAGATGGGTACGGCCAAACACCGTTAATGTTGGCTGTCATACATGGCCACTATGAAACCATTAAGCTGTTACTCAAAAGCGGTGCTGAGATTCACAGTAAAGATGTACTCAATCAAACACCATTAACGATAGCGATCGAAAACGGAAATCAGGAAATTGTGAAGCTTCTGCTTGCACGTGGTGCTGGGATTCACAGTGAAAATTCATTCGCAACCTCATTAATGATAGCGACCGAAAATGGAAACAAGGAAGTTGTAGAGCTTCTGCTTCAAAATAATTTTGACTTCGAAAGAAAAGACGCGTATGGCCAAACACCATTAATAGCTGCTATCAAACATAGGAGTAAAGAAGTTGTAGAGCTTCTGCTTCAAAATGGTGTTGATTTTGAAAGAAAAGACGAATATGGCCAAACACCATTAATAGCTGCTATCAAACATAGGAGTAAAGAAGTTGTAGAGCTTCTGCTTCAAAATGGTGTTGATTTTGAAAGAAAAGACGAATATGGCGAAACACCATTAATGGCTGCGATTGAAAATGGGAACAATGAAGTTGTAGAGCTTCTGCTTCAAAGGGGTGCGGATATTGAAGTGAAGGATAATATTGGCAGAACAGCATTGTCACTCGCTGCTTCGTACAAAATACTGAAAGCTGTTCAGCTTTTGCTTGAAAATGGTGCAGAGCTTGAGACAATAGACCATGAGGGAGAAACACCGCTTCAGAAAGCAATCGACCTAAGTTACATCGTAGATAATACTGATCAAAACGGGATCGTTACGCTCTTACTTGAGAATGGTGCAGAGCTCGAAACAAGGGACCGGGAAGGAAAAACACCACTGCAGAATGCAATTGTTTCATACAATTTCTCAACAACCAACGGTGATCGAAAAGAGATCATTATGCTCTTACTTGAGAATGGTGCAGAGCTCGAAACAAGGGACCGGGAGGGAAAAACACCGCTGCAGAATTTGAAGGCTTCGAATTGGGAAAATGAGACTATCCGGCGAGAGTTTGTTGCGCTTTTGCTTGAGTGGGGTGCAATTGATATGGATGAGGAATAAAGAAACATCACTATTGTGGGCTATTGTTGAATGAAGGAAATTCGGCTTTCAAATTTCGTGGAGACGATCTCTTCGAAGTCTCAAGATTTGAAGTTCCGATTGATTTGGGGGCGGGGAGGGGGTGGAAACTATGAATCTTTTTAAACACTCTTTTTATGGCAGTTAAAATCGGGGAATTTTGATGGCAATTCAATAAATTGTAAGCCGTATGTGTTATCAACGCCTCAAAGGACAAACGGGTATACCCAATTGACTTCATTATCTTACCAACGATCTCCGCATACACTTGTCTCCTGCCCTCAGATCCTCGAGCTCTGTCGCTTCTCATGAGTACACCGCATGTGCAACTTTCACAAAACAGAGCCAGTGTATCGGAGCATTTTCAGTTAGAATGAAATTTTCTGGCCAAGACTTTAAGTAGTGTTGGGATTAACGGGTGATTGGTTCAAAAAATGTGGAACAATATGGAAATCTTTATCGGTTATACACACATATATAGAACGGCACTGCACATAAACCGTGTTCCTTCTCCACGTATACGAAAATAAAAATACAATCCCATGCATCTGATTCGAACTTATGGAAGCACTAGTCCGGAAAGAGAGGTAGAAATTGAAGAGCGAGTGAAACCTGGAAGTGAATAGAGAGGGTGTGGTGATATATACCTAAATTGTGAGGAATGGTGAACTATGTTAGATTTAAATATGGACATATACCGGCATCATTTCCTCACCAAGCTCCCAGCTTTCAGGACCCTCGCAATTCTGGTACCAGCTCTACCGGTACTTCAAAGAGTCTCTCCCAATCCGAGATTCTTAAGAAGTTGGGGATTGAAAGCACCGAGTTCTCCAAAGATGAAATTCTCCTCACTTCTACTCAAGGATGGCAACTCTATTCCGTTAGTGAGCAATTCTATATCACTCGCTGTATAGAATAGAATACTGACAAAACCAAAGATAGCATTTGGCACAGGTACTGCGTGGTACAAAGAGGACCCTAAAGAACCTTTAGACTGAGATCTTGTCGACATTTTGAAGGCAGCTATTGAGCAGGGGTTTCGTCATATCGACGCTTCTGATGCTTACGGCACGGGGGAAGAGTTCGGTGTTGCTATCAAAGAATCCAGCATACCGCGTAAGGAAATTTTCGTAACTACGAAAGTCTTCGAGGGTTTTTACGATATACCTATATTGATTCAGAAGAGTTCAGCTAAGCTTTAGCTGGACTGTGGACTTGTGAGTCAAACGCTTCATTGTGTATACAACCACTAACTCTGTAGATATTTGCTCCATTCACCCTATCTCGCAAAAGAACTTTCCGACCTTCAACAGATCTGGCTGTCGATAAAACAGGTAAAAGCCTCTGGAAAGGCTAAATCCATTAGAGTGTCAAATCACCAGCGTCCGCATATCAAAGAAATACTGAAAGTCGCTAATATCATTCCTGCCCTCAATCAACTAGAATTCTATCCTTATCTACAGCGCGCACACAATTATCTCCCCTGGATGCGGGCGCATAGGTTCGAGGCGGCTAGTTTCCACGGGTTAACACCAATCACAAAAGCACGGCCTGGACCTCTTGACAACATACTTGCAGAGATTGCAGCCGGACATCAAGTTTCTGAGAACTCTGTGCCATTAGCTGGCAGATTGCTCAGAATGTTGTGGTGACGTCAACGACGATGATGGTTGCTCGACTGGAGGATTATGCTGCAGCTGTGCGGCTGAAATTATCGAGGGAGGAGCAGGAGAACATCATCTTGGTTTGATTGATGCATCTTTTTAGAGCTTGAGCTCCTGACCGTTTCGATCCTGATGATAGATCTTAGCTCTTTGATATTTATCTGGTGTTTTTCAGAAGTAGGCCTCAGCTGCACGGCACTCTTAAGTATCTTGGAGAGCCCGGAAGGGAACATTTTGATATCTTGGATTTTCTCTATTGCATCTGAATTCCAGACTCTCGCTTTTTTTATTGAATATCAATTCAAATATCTTAGAAGGCCATAAACGCAAGATTCCATGTTGCATTTGGAAAGTTAAGATAATTCTTATCAACAGATACTCATAATTCCTATTACCAGTCGATGGCGGAACTATCAAAGAACACTCTGGAGAGAGTGGATGGACAGAATATCAAAGCTTGACAGACGACGCTGTATCTACATAATAATACATTTAACAAATTCATGGACTTTCTTTGTAAAGTCCAAAATTAAACGAAGCGAAAGATCTCATTTCTCCACAAAGGAAGAAATCCATCCACATCTGCACTTACAGGTAAATTAACATCTTCTTTCCTGTCATTCTAGTCAATACTTATATCAAATCATTCATCACCACACTCTCTCAAAGTCTCCTCGATTCAATTCCATCTCCGAATTTTTCGGCCGAAAACTTCGGCCGCGACTCGAATCAGAATCCCAGTACCCACTCTCATCCTCATCTTCAACCATTAAACAAGTATCTCCGCAGATCTTTTGATGAAAATACAACTATATTTCTATTCCAACCAATCTCTTTCTCCCATTATTCTTCAAGAAATGTTTTGTTGCACGTCTACACCGGCTCCGAAAGTATGGGTCTCGGACTTCCGAGCTTTTCCTCTAGCCTTCCTTCACCTATGAGTTTTCTTTTTCATACCTATGTAAAGAATTATTGAATCTTGCATGATATCATATCGAAATCTACCGCGGACAAAAACTCAGGTCCTTGTTCTGATCTAGAATCGAGATGACTGAGAACCCGATAACGTAAGAGATGCCCGAGTAAGCTCATTTTTCCTCGGATGAGTAAGATTCCATCTCATATTCAACAAACAGAATTTATTATTCAAATGAAGTGGAGAGCGCCTGAAAAAGCCAGGAGATATGTTGGAATGAATAGTTGGTGATGGAGAGTGAAGTTTTGTTGCATGTCGTTATTCGGATCCGGGTGGGAGTTTCGGATATAGGGGTCGGAGATCGTGGGGCTCGGTAGATGCGCACAAGTATACTGGTTGCTTGGAATGAATCGAGATGGGTGTGGATTGATTGGGAAGGTGATTATCTGATTGGAGATGAGGATGTGGTCTATGCAAGATGAAAAGTAGGCCGTTTTGGTAATGGTGTGAGCGATGACGTCGGATTATGGAATGCTACTTGAAGGGATCATTCAATCAACGTGATACATAAGTTAGATACAAACACTGTCATTTGAACATCATTATCTACTGTTCAATTTGTGGTTTTTTCGTCAAGATGGTTATTGATTTCAATCTTTGTATTTCTTCTGGACAATGATGCTATAGCATTATGCTGTATTTTCTCAACAGCTATTAACAACACCAACTGTTTTCTCCTATATTTTTCCTGAAACTCAACACTGTGTTCAAGCCGAACCGGTTCAATATCACAAGACTCGAAATTCATAAATGATAGAGTACCGAACCCCTCAAATCCACCATTTAATATCAAAACTTGTATATTTCCCCCTCTATAAATCAAGAAACCCTATCCGTTACCCTTCCCCTCGAATAAAGATCCTCCATCCCAAACCCCAACTCAACCCCCAAATACAAATCCACACATATATATCCGTTAATATGTTCTCATTCAAACACTTTATCTATTTTCTCCCTACTCTTTAGACTTCCAATGATGCCTAAAATCATGAATCGTCGCCACGATCATCCATAGTAAACTCACATCACCCAATCCCGCAAGCAAAACAATAACCGGAATGGCTCATCCGTCGAACAGTCGAGCAAAAGAAGCTCGGTTCGATTCCTCGGTTTGGGGTATCGATTCCCGTTCATAAGAAATCGGTACATCGGAACAGTTTTTTACTATCGTGGTGGTGATGATGGTGGTGATGGTGGGAGTAATGGTGGGAATAATGGCGGTGGTATTGGGGGTGGTGATGAAGCTTACAACGGTTCGGGTAATGATTAGGGCGTAGCTAGTAGCATTAGAAGGAAGCCTCTCGAGAGTTCCGAATGCGTATGTGGTATCTGCCATGTTTTTTTTTTGGTTTTTTTTCGAGTGTTGAATAAGGGGGGGGATTGTCAATGAGGGGAAGTGTTTGCATGGATAGGTAGATAGTTGTAGAATTGGTTTTTTGTGTGTGAAATGATGATCGTTGGAATAGTCGTTGGACTGATACTCGTTGGGAACTGTGAGGTCTAGTAACCTTCAGGAGGAAGAAATAACCGGTGCTAAATTCGCTAAAATGGAAAGTTTTGAAGAAACTTTTATCGAGGAGGTGAGTGTTAACATTCGTTGGATATATAGACATTTTGTTATATTAAGATGTAAAACTGGTATGAACTGAAGGATTTCTATATCGAGATGGATTTTTATTATATATTATAATAGATCGATATGATATTTGAAGAAATTTGAGAAGGGATCAGCAGGAGAAAACATCAAGGTTACGGTAACCGAAATTTCGGACTACAGTTTAATAATATAAGGGTTTGAGTATCTAAAAGTAGTCAGAAATTTAACAATAATTTATTGTTCCAACTAGATTCAATATTAAATCATTTGAATATTTTAATTGATATGAAAATTTAAAAATATTTATTATTGGACGATAGTCCGGACTATTGAATACTCTATTCGTAGAATCTCGACATGATGATTTTATCGCTATGCTCTAAAACATTCATTATATACTCTTTGGCCTCATTGATAGAAATTCCTGTTATTATTAGTATCACTTATAATAGTGAAACCTATCTTTAGTGTAACGAGTAACACGCCTTGTCAGATTTTTATTAATTATACCCTGGTTTATCCCATGCTTCTCTATCTCATTTTCGCTAATACAAATACAAACTCATCCATGGATGTTCAAGTTTTCCTCCCCTTACTTTCTTACATCCTCTTCGCTTGTGATCTATGTTAGAATAATTCACTATCCTACGTGTATACTCACTAGCTTAGTTGTTAGGATATACAATTATTATGTGCGAGCTAGCGCTGATGTTGTTGTGGAGATCTTGTATCGTGGATTGAGACTGGGAGGATAGTTATAAAGGGGAAATCCTTTACAAGAGCCCTCTTCGAAACCCTATTATTATCCCAACTTATGTTATTTAATCACCTTCATGCTTTTGTATTACTATAAAATCTTACTCTATAATTATAAGGTTTGATATAGTATTAAAAAAATACCATTTACACCATTTCATGCGAGAATGAGAATGTTATTGTGATGCTGAGACCCCTGTAACCCCCCCCTCCTCCCTCTCATCTCCTCTCCTCTCTCAAATCTCATGATCGTTCTAATTCATATCATATACTCATATATTACCATGCAATATAACACATGATCACACAACTGAGAATGGCAGAAGAGACTCTACGTCGTACCTGGACCTCTCCGCAAAGATCTCGGTAAAATGATTTTATCGCTAGATTCTAAGAAGTAATATTTTATTTACCCTTAAGTTTCAGTACGACAAGGTATTCGGTATCTCTATCATTCAATAGTTTCTTCTCCGCATAATTTGATGACTATGACATATGTTCGCCGCAGCTTCGTAGTATCAATCAATCGATTGGTCGTTGGTTGGTCGTCAAAACCTTTGACGAGTCTTTCCTTCTTCCTTTTGATTTCGGTTCATTTCTTATTCATTTGCAATGAACTGAACATCGATCAATATTTCCAATATCATAAAGATACAAAAGTTTAACACCAGCAACCGACCTCACTATGTCAGAGGCACACACGATGCCAGTCAAAGACCCATTCGTCCCCAAGCAAATGATGTCCAAGACCGCGGCCCTCTATCAGGAACTCACTGGCGATTCCTCAATTGATACTGCTGCGCATACGATAACTCATCTTTTGCCTCCATTTACTGCAGATGCCATTAGTAAGAACAATAATTTCCTTGATAACCCTCTCCTAAAATCCGTATTGAAAACTCATTAATTGCTCAACCTAGTTCACGACAACGGCTGGGGTACCGGCGAAGACACAAAAGCGATCATAGAATCTCATCTTCCCGATGGTATCACAATCAAGGCCAGTGATCGCAATTGATATATGATAGATGGCTGTCGCGAGTTTGCCACAGCAGGAAATTGGCCCGTGGAAGCAAATGTTATGCCTGCCCAATCTCTTACCTTCCCGGATCATTACTTCACTCATTCATCTAGTAATTTTTTATTTCCCATCTCGATGATAATCACAATCCAGCAGCAAAGCAAGTCTATCGAACCCTGAAGCCAGGAGGGACAGCGATAGTTTCTGCATGGGCTGCAATGGCACATGGAGAACCGATCAAGAGAGCGCACTTTGAAACACGAGGGCCTGATGTTCCCTTCCCTATTTCTATGTCAACACATTGGTATGAAGAGATGCATTGAGGAATTTTTCTATTGTCGGGAGATTCAAGAGAGAGGATATCAAGATCACGACCTGCGATGTTTCTATTGAAGCGAAGGATTTACGACGTCTCATGTCTGCTACTTGGAGCTTTTTAGGTGCTCAAGATGATGGATGGTATCCGGAGGATGAAGAAAATTGGGACAAAGCGGTTGATATTTTGGTGGAGAACGTAGAGGCTGGGAAATACTACCTTAAGCTTCGTTGGGGAAATATAGCGTTGAGAATGGTTGTCAATATGGGCCTGGCTACAAAATAGCTCCAGTCCCTTTACCCACTGACTAGTATATATTTATAATAGGGATTCTGTTTCCATTTTATACAAGCATCGTGCTTCTCGGTTCTCTATCAATCTCGATCTCCATCTTAAGCATCCATTAAACCCTCACATAATAAAATACAACACTAGTGATAAAAAAGTAAAATCAGAGATTCTTCATTTTGCATCTCTTATCAGAGCGACAATCAAAGGAGAAGAATGTTTTAAATAAATGATACAACAAAAAATTAATTCCCGACCAAGTGGTCTCCATGTAAATAATTAGTACAAAAATAAAAAAGATGTGCAATCAATGCAAAACTTGACATCATCCAAATCCAAATCCAATTCCTCAAAGGACACTAGCACGGGTATCGTAATAACTTTGTAAAAGATCCTGATGAAATAAGATGGTGATTGAAGTCTGCCCAGCTCACCCATCACATACCAGCAGCAGTCTTAGCGAAGGCAGCAGCTGTACCGGCATCCATTCCATAAGTTAAATGAGGTGCCAGAATAAGATCTCCGTGAGCGCAAATGTTATCACCGGTATGGCAGATAACCTTTGTATTTGCAGCTGATGCGCCTGCGACTGGACTTCCGTTGTCTGATATGTATGTTAGTGAAGGTTACGAATGGTTTGATCGAAGCTCTACTTACTTGGATCTCCGAAAATGATAGCGGAGCTAACTTTGGCCATGGTGGCTGCAGGAAGCATTTTTGCAGCATTGTGTACGAGTTGACCGCCTTGAGAGTAACCTGCCATGACGATCTTGGAATCGGGACAGTTTGTTACGGCTGTTGAGATCATTTGAGCCCTATGATAGAAGTTAGTAACTGAAACTTGATAAAAATTGAAGGTACATACATCATCTTGCTTCCAGCTGCATCGCCTCCTGCCAAAAATCCAGGGATATCGGCGGGGTATGGAACACCTTGAACAGCCATATTGCTAGCACCAACGGCCGTACCGAGAGCAGCAACCAATGGAGGTCCTGCTACGGTACCCAAAGTGCCTGTTTCTGTAGTTCCACGGGCAAAGATAAGCATCATTGGTGCGCATGCTCCAGCTGCAGCTTTAACGTTTCCAGTGCCCTCGAGAATTGGCGCGGCTAGCGCGGTAAGAGGGAGGAGCAAAAGAGATAGAGACTGTGTAACCTTCATTTTGGAGACTTGCTGTTGTATGAATTAAATTCTCGAAATGATTATGGTTTTCTTGAAGTATTTAAGAAAGCGATAAAGTAAGCTGTGTTGGATGGATAAATTAAAAAAGAAACGGTCATCCATTGGGACTTACATGAAATATATATTCGTCTCAGTGACAAAAACACATATCAACATCGCAAACAATCCCATGACGGCGGAAAGGAATGAAAAGAAAGGTTGCGATTGGCTGAACTTTCTCATGCAAATATGACGGTAGTGACATTCTGGAAAGATGGATGGGATGAATTTGTGTGAGCGGCGGAGGCACAGACAGGTGGAGGATTTCTCCAACATGAAACTCGTCTCAACCACAACCCCATTATCACTAACACCGAGGTAATAAGGAAATCGTTCCTTCTAGCCTGACATTTAAAATCTTAGATGTTTAGACTGCAACATTTGAAATCTGGGCGTTAAGGCTGTGTGTATAAAAATTCATCAACTTGAGAATCATGATGTTGTATCACCGATCGATGAAGATATTTCATTCAGAATTTCGGTGGTGTAGTGATCAAAGGAGGATCAGTTATTGCGTATTCTGAATTTTCACTGAGATAGAAAACTTTTGTAAATCTCTATTATAATCTTCACACCGACTCTGAATATGTAAAGTTTTACAAGATCGTGTGGCCCGGCAAGTCCACTGTCTGATACTATAGATCCCAACTGAATTAGAAATATCAAAACCACGTTTACATTGGCATTTGTCTGTGCGATCAGCCTCATCAATTGAGAAAGCGCAATATAGTTTATGCCTCGGTACTCATTCTGCTTAAACAACATGTTTGCGACAGGTTTGTGGGTATAGAGTAAAGACACAAATGCTCGTATTGTCAGAATCCAAACTGCAAACCGGACGATATACTCTTTAGAGTTGGGATGGTTGGACACTTTGATTTCTCGACATGCGATTCGTAGAGAGAAGCGTTCCTCAGGGCCAGATCCACTTTGATTTAACCTTAAGCTACTTCAGATGTGTTTTGATTTTTGCTCGGCAGTTTTTGCCAACTCTTTAGGATTCGCTCGCATCGATTGCTTGGTGATGTTTGTTATATCGTCATGCCATTTTGGTACCACAAGTAGGTTCGGCATTTGAGCTCGATGGGGCATTTGGACACGAGGGTAATGAAAGATGACACTGACACCTTGCAAGTGCTTGATAAATTGGAGTATGAATATCTTTTCCGCTTTCTTGCTATCGTAGACCGCACAGAATTCTATTTCTCTCTCTAACAAACAACAACATTCAACCCCATACCTTTGCATCAATATGGAATTCCGACGAGGTTTTATGACACACCAAAGTCCGAAAATTTTGAGTCTTGTTCATAATGGATAGACCTGGTGGACTTGTTGATGAATATGATCAAGACATTTATTTTTGATGGATTGTATGAGAAGAAGTCTGTCAAACACTAGAAAAAAGACAACTCAGATTCATTCTAGCAATCATTGGGGTGCGAGCTTATCAATGCATGCAGGCCGTCACATGACCCGGTTAGCCATCTTGGGCATATTTCTATAAATTCACACCAAGCTGAAGTGATACCACACCTAGGATCAAACGAGAAAGATATTCCATTCCATAAGAAAAAGGCAACACGATGACAGGAAGACTCACGGCACTATATCATCTTCTATGTTTGAATCTTCTACCTCATCGATCTCACATTTTTTGGTGTTCGAGTTGAGTCAGTTTATCCTGACACTGAACGTCCGCTGTCAATCACGACTTCCCGCTTGTCAAAAAAGCTAAACTGCTCCACACCTGTTTCGACCAACTGATCACCATTGATCTCCCGAGATCTCCATCACTTGCATGGCCAGCAGAAGATGTTCTATTTTGACCGCATGCTTTTTCTCATAAAGCACATTATTGGTATGAAAAAAGCACTTCTCCATGGAAAAAAGTGCGTTGATGGCAGAGATTACCATTGGGAGAATGGATGCTGAAGTTGTCCGAAGGGTAAATGGATGCAAGTCAACCTCGACGAGGTTATGCGATATGAGCTAGAGTCTCAAGGGCAGCGATCGTAACAGTCAAGAGAAGTATGACGATGGTGAGAGATCAAAATGTCTGGTCGATCAACGTCAAGGGTCTTAGTTGCCGCTTTTTTCCTGCGTCTTCATGTCTACCTCTCAACCCTAGTTGCATTGCCACGTCTCGTTGAGGTTCTTTTGGCAGTCTATCCACTACTTGTTAAAGCTTTGGGCAGGTATGACGAAGGAAAGTAAAATACATTACTCGTCGTTTTCTAGTCACTAAGTGGTGATTGAAAACTCGGAATATTTCTACGTGGACGAGACAGTGGTTCACCAAGTCTGGCCGAATTATACATCGGAAACACTTGCATTTCGATTGAAAGTGATGATTGTTTGATTTTATGTAGAAGATTGGAAAGAGTGTATACTTCTGTTCTCCTGTTACTGTGGTCTGGAATCATCGTTACACGCTATAGCTGAGATAGTATTCCACAAGCTGCGGTAGCTATAGAAAAGTCATAGATTGATCGTCGATATGCATATTCGGATGTAAGATACGCAGATGTGAATATCCCGAGTTTCTCGAGTCTACATGAGTTTGATAATTTCGAATTCAGCCTTAAAGTGTATGCGAAAAATTCCATCTCCGAGTCTACCTAGGTATTCCCAAATTTCTTGATGTGTATTACAGTCACCTTCAATAGAGATACAATAGCGGAGTATGTAAATTTAATACATTCCAATATCCTTCAAGCACTTTTCACCCAAGAACCAAATTATAATGCTGAGTTAATCTAAATTATTTATATAATTTGCTACATAGAGAACAATCTAAATGTGAACAGGCAAGGACCGCGAAATTATGATGACCACGATTGATACATCTTTTCCTTCCCATGTACACCCAAAATCTATATTAAAGAAATCTCCCTCTTCTCATACCCCACCGGCCTGCCATTAAGAACTCCATCGTCTCCACTAACCATCTCCACATCCGCTCTTTCCCTCAACAAAGCAGATCTATCCACTCCTCGCTCCACCACATCAAAAGGAAACCACTCCGGTCTGACAATCACATACGCCGTGTAATCATACCAAGGCACTTCGATATCTTCACCCTTCTCATTCTTCTGCTTTCTGATATCCACACTCCACAAAATCGTCGCAATAACAGTAAGTAACAACATCTCTACATGATCCTGTCCAATACAAGCTCGTCTTCCCCAACCAAATCCATGGTTGGCTTTGATGGATGGGAAATGGGTAAGAGGCTCTTTGTAAGTGGGAAACTCGGGTGATAGCCAGCGCTCGGGACGGAAGTTTTCGGGATCAGGGTAGAGGACTGGATCACGGCAGAGACCCCATTCGAGAGCGAAACAGGTGGTGCCTTTGGCGAGGAAATAGCCGTCGTATACATCGTCTTGTGAGAGTACGTGAGGAACGCCTGGTTAATTTTGTTAGTTTATTGAGCCGTCTTTGGGGGTAGTTCAGAAACCAGGAGATGTAAATTGCTTGAGGAAAAAATGAGGGAGGGGAAAAAGAAATCACACATACCAGCAGGAGCCGGACTTCTCCACCTGAAAATTTCTCTAATGATCGCTCTCACAACAGGCAATTGCTGGATATCATCAAAAGTAGGTGGACGATCCCCACACACTCTATCGACTTCTTCTTGTCCCTTGGCCTGCCACTCTGGACTAACAATCATAGCGTGGAAGAAACTTTGAATGGGTGACGACGTAAGAATACTTCCGATCAACGCCAACATGCCGATTGAATAGGTGTTATCTTCTTCAAATTTAGGTGTAGTAGGCATGCTGAGATGTCTCGCCATCCAGGATGGATCCGGTTTCTCGTTCAAAAGGGACTTTCTGACTTCCTCTTTTTCTCCAAACCAAAAGTTTCTCTCCCGTTGATAACGTACTCGTTCTGCTACCTTCCATGGTTGGAGAAAATCGGGAACCCAGTCTGGAATATTGCGGAGAAAAGGAAGCTTGTTTTGGATATCACCGTCGGCTGAGATGCGGCGTAGGAGTTGATTGGCACGCATGATGGTTTCTCTGGCGGTGGAGAGACGGCGATCATTCCAGGCCATTTGCGATGATACTTGAGCGGTGCATTCTTCGCAGAATTGTTTGAAGAGATGTGGTTGAGCGATGAGACGAGTGACGAATGTTGCGGCGCCCTTTTGAGAAAGGCCCTTGAGACGATCGGGTGGCATGCTGGACATGGTGGCCTTCATCCAAGTTTTGATGCGCCTCATGTCATCTGGATGGATGTTAGTATTGTGGAAGGAAATTTCAGATACTGGGAAACATACCGCCATTGGTAACAAGGGGAATGTATCGATTTGTGTATCTACAATCTTCTCCAATAGCTGCAAGAAATGGTCTATCTGAATAGATGGCTCCTCTCTTGACAAACAGGTCATCGCAAATCTTATGAGAGGTAATCCAGACAGTAGTATCACCGTTCAAATTCACTTGGTACATATTTCCATATTCCTTACTCCAATCCACCATTTTCATCCATGGATTCTTCGGGTCAAGATCAGGAACTGATCCAATGATCGGGTATCCTGTAACAAAACATTAGTAAAGATTCATCAGTGAGGTATCATACATATTCTCTTACCCTTTGGACCCGGCAGTGTTTTGGCGCCATCAGGTATCTTGACTTTCTTGAACAGACGCTCATAAGATACATAACATATAAAAATCGCAGCAGAAAAACCAAGCAGCAACAATGAGTATGCCATGCTTGCCTATGACGAAACGATCGACTATAGAATTCTGGAATGTAGAAAAAAGAGAGAGATGGGAGACTTGATATTAAATCAAAAATTGCAGCCTTCCCATCCAGCTCCTGGGAAACGAGAAAAAGGAACCCAAAAGAAACAAACAAATACGAATCCAGTAGCACTGCACTAGTTTCTCCAACACCATCAGACCCATCCACACTAAGACAGAACTAGTCACTTTCCTCCCATATACCTACATTTCATCTGACAAGAAGGACTAAGCCTCTCTCGAGCCTTGCACAACAACACCCAAAACATGCTTTCCAGCTACATGTCGATCACGTAACAAGGGACGATTGTTTCCGTTGCTGAAACATCCTCGACGCGCTATGTTCCGAAGCACGGATACTAGAGATGATCCGCTAAACCCTAGTGCCCCTTTTGCGTGCCGACCTTCGTATTGCTTGGCCCAATGCTGCATACATAAATACATTGCTTGTTTGAATTTTGTCCTGTCTCGTCCTTTCGGCTCATGTAGAACGAGGATAATTGAGATGCAGCGTTGTAAATGTTGGCTGTACCCCCCACATTCGTGTCAGACTTTTGGGGGCTGGCAGATTTCTTCACGACGTCGTGTGCAGGGCTGAATTTAGTCGATTAGTAGTAGTAGTATGCTTACTTGTCATTCTTATCCATCGATGCTTTCAGAACTTGCGTGCGTTTGTGATTATCTACAGATTGACAACAAACAGATGTCGAGCTATCACAAAGTCAATATGTACGGAGTACAAGCGCAATCAAAATTTTACCCCGCGGACCGTCAAAAAGCTTAACGATGCAAAGCGTGTCGCACGGGGCTCTGCGCTCTTGAACATTTTCGAAATTGCATACATGAATCTCTGATCTCATATCTGTATACTTAGGTACGAGAATAACTTTACCAGTTGTTGGATAGGCATCGTGAGACAATCAATAATTCCAACTTTAGCTCGCGTGTGATAGAGAACATGTATGGACTGGATAACGACGGCATATACTAGATACGAGACGTAGGTATGTGTTTTTTCTATTAGACTTTCTCTAACCCATTTTCTGTCAAAAAGCAAAGTATTTGCCAGTGGATGAAATGGTTGACTCAGAATCTCTTACCCAAAACGAGATGGGGATATCTTTCATGAGTCTGCTTGGTTCGTTGTCCGGTATTTTGGTATGTTGTTTCGTAACTTTAAAGCTCATATCACCGAGTGTCTACGTGGTCCTAACTAGTCGCACCTAATGTAAGTTTAGTAAGAAATAAATAAAAAAGCTATCAAAAGTTAGCTTGGATGTCTCGAGGATGTGTAACGATCGATAGTCGAGCGTCGATAAACGAACGCCTTATCGATCGCTACAGGGAACATATTGAGATTTCGTATTGTCATGTAGGAAATTCAATTATAGCCTATGGTTTTCCGAAAGACCGAAGAGCGAAGATCATGTATTTCACACATCTCGGAATCCAGTTTGGCTCTGTAGAGTCTTTATTGGTATTGGAAGGTTACAGTTCAACAAGACTAATGCTTGTATATAGTAGTTCGATACAACCTCAACCTTACAAAGTATAGACGATGATGCTATAGATGAGCTTGAAGATTATCTATCGGTTCCATGGTTATGGCTTCCATCATATCGGTCCAGATAAGCAGATAAGACAGCCCTTCTTATTTCCAATACCTAGGTATTCAAGGATGCGAATGTGTGTTCCGACCACCATGTTGAAGAAACATGAAACAAGACCATTTGTCCAAATATATTGGTCATCATCACCCAAACATACTGAAATAGCTATGAAGAAGTGTCATAGATCTTAACCGAGCCTCTGTTGTAGCAAATATTAATACAGAACTGCCAATACCTAGGCAGTTACACATTGGAGAAGATCGAGAATTGTTAAGCGATTCTTCAACAATCAATTCTTGAACGTCCCAAAGTAAATTTTGATGGCTCTGATATTTCTATAATTAGCTCATTCCAACCTCAAACTTTGAAAGACTGATGATTGAGCCCCATTTCAACTGTTCTCCACAATACATTTCCGGATAACCAATCAGAAGTTTATATCAATTCGTAACTATTTCTACATTTGCGTTCGTTTGTAAGATCTTGAAACAACATACATACGGAGTACACACCAGATATCTGATCATAGATCAGGTGTGGAAAAGTGGGTAGATTCGTAGATTATTAAGAGTTCTAGAAGCAAATGTTTGCGAATTCGGCAAGTATGAAGTTGTGTGCGGCATGGAGGAATCATGGTGAAGAACGTCTTACTATCCCTCGCATTTATATCAAAGCCGCATTGAAAAACATTCCGAAAGTTTTCTGTTGAATAAATGGGAAAGGAATTTCGGAAACCAAGAGCCGATCAATTTGCTGGCCAACCATTGCGCAATAACCTCTCGGATATGCCCCTCAATTCTTACGCAATGGTGTCAGTGAGAGGTAGTTGCATGTCGTATGCTATGAGACGCCTCTGCTATTTGTGAAAGCTTAACCTTATATCTTGTTCATTGGGTTTTGAAAAATATCCAAGATCATCGACTTGAAGGTAAAAATTCCGTCTGAGGGAGATTGAGGTCGTATGTTTTTTGGAGAATCGCAGTATCCCAATTCGAAACTCACAACATGAAGCCAACCGCAAAAGGAAGCAGAGAAAAGCAGATGCATGAACGGGGAGGATGATCTTCGCCGCACGCAGGATTGGAAGTTTGCATCGTTGCATTCCATGGAAACCATTTTGTTCCTAATGACATCTATTCTTCCTCATGTGAGTAATGCTGTTGTGTTTTCTCGATCTAATATTAGCAGAAGACTTTGTCGCTGCAATCCGGAAGCAAATTGAGTCCTTGAAAACGATTCCATCACGCGAGGGGGAGGCGGGTGTAGGGGCACCCACCACTCATTGTTGCAATAATTTCGCACTGACGACAAAGCTCAAATGGTACCGAATGGGAAGATTTAATTGAACAGACCTTACCTTTGGTAAATCGTCCTTCAAAGAAAATCCATTCTGCAGACAATATCTTCATCTCACCAACAGGAAGCAAACAATCAAGAAGAACCGCAAATCAGAACCAGACCCCACAAAATTCCACACCACACCATACCACACCACAAACAGAAAAGCACATCTAAAATCTTCAATCGCCCCCAGAAAACAACCCCAAAATCTCAATTCTGTTTATAGAAACCAACAGTTAGTTGTTCGTTATCACGATCCAACATATAATTTAATTTCACAAACTTGGAAGTCGTCATCCAAAGATCTCTGATTGGTGTTTCAAATACGGGGTACACAACCTATCTCAAGCGAGCTTACATGATTCATCTAAAGAGCCCCCTTCTTGATTCTATTTTCATCATGATATAGTATTCGGGCATGTACAGCCGTGTGAACCAACAATTTGAAACTGCATGTGGTATACCACGAAGAAAAAAGGATGATGAGAGGTGGGTTGGTGAGTAATGTATTCGTGGTTTGGGTGGAATTGGATAATGTGAGGCTTTTGATTATTAGAAGATGATTTATCGTTTTGGATGTTTGCAATAATTCAAACATTTGGATTTTCTATACACTCAGCCTTTCGAATGTTCTCAGGGTTTTAACTGGGTCCATGAATTGAAAGCTACTGATTGACAACCTACCTTCCACATTATCAAATGAAAACTCGGAGCAAACTTACAGTACAATCAACACTAAATTCCGAAAATTTCTCTATATAGAAAACGGATCCGTACATTGGGTAAGAGGATCACGTCGTACATTCCTTCGAGTCATGTAACATCGATGAAGGGAAATTCACATGTCGTGGCCAGGTCCAGCCTTACTGGTAGTGGAAAGACGTTGCAGCGTGGAAGAATGATCATACATACTATGATTTCTCAATATTTTCAGTTCTCAAAACTGAGAATCCGTTGGAACTTTGATATAGTGGGTATACCCAAGTGATCAACAACACTCTCTGGGAGATTCCTCCCTCAATTTCCCCTCTAGTTAGCGATTGCCTGGATCTCATTACCATGATAGCACGCTGTATAACTCGCTATCGGTAACATTCACAAGCTGTGCCTCAAAACTGTAATACTCACGTCGTGTCGTAGGATTCTCAATAGTTCCTCTTCTCATCCATCCCGTTAGATACTTTAGCATCATTTCGGCAATGAAAAATTATATCGTCGATCTTAGGGGGATCCAGAAACTCACTCTCTGGTATCGCATATATAGAGATGTGATAATACCTACCAAGCCATTTCGCAAATCATTCCCATCCTTTCCTTAAGATTTCCTTTCTAAAACTTTGTTCATTGGTATTCCCAGTCATTCCTTTCTGGTGCCAATATCACATTCAGTCTTTACCATGTCTCCTATCAATTTGGTTCTCAGAACCGCTTTCATTCTTTCTTCTATATCGACTTCTTTTGCCGCAATCTGCAATGGCCAGACTCGAGCTTCTGGGGACCCTTCTGGCGAGATACTAGCTGCATTCCTCAATTCTCAAGATCAAATCTCCCAGTTTTGTTCGGCGGGTGTATCAGGAAAGACTTCAGGGGATGTGAACTTCTCAGACTTCCAGGTAAGACACCCAAGAAACATTCAATTTGACATACTAATCGAAGTAGATCTCTTTTGAGCGCAGTGATAGCTTCAGTTCAACCTTGGAGCATTGTACGAAAGCACTCCAGGATATCATATCCCGGTGCATTAAGCCTTCCGATCCAGGAACTTATGGTGAAAGCTCAACATTTGAAAGTGGGGAAACATACACCATCAGCAACGACTTGTATCCCCAAGCACCAGTGGTCTCTGTAAATCTAGAGAATCGAGCAGTGGAAGACGCCGCAAAAGCTAGGACTCATAAAACTACTGCAAAGCCGACTACTAAAACAACCAAAACAATCCCCAAGACAACAACTGTAGCACAAGCAACTACTACTCCAAAAACTACAGCAACTACTCCAAAGCCAACTCCAACTTCTGTGACTACGAGTTCGAAGACCACACAAACAACCTCTACTACATCTAAATCATCGACTAGCAAGACAAGTTTATCTTCAGAAACTCCCAAAACGACAGCAACTTCCACTAGTTCCAAAACTATACAGACAGTCCCCACTACTTCGAAACCCTCCATATCCACTATCACGACGAGTATAGCTTCCGAAACTCCCAAGACAACTTCCATAGCCACGACTTCAAAATCGACAACTTCTAGTACTATCTCTTCTAAGATTCCTTCCCCTAGCAGTCTCTCCTCAAGTCAGACTTCAACAAAGCAAAGTAGTACTGGTACCAGTACTAGTACTAGTACTAACCCTAACTCGAATCCTCACTCTGCCACCTCATCATCCCTATCAACCCTCTCCTCAATTTCCTCAATCAAAGGTTCTTCCACCCACACTCCCACCCTCACACCCAGCGCTCCCACCTCAACCAAGCCATCTCCAAGTAACATCCCATCTTCCCTCTCAACCACTCAACTCTCCACTTCAAGTCTGGAGGTATCTTCCCATATCCCCGAGCTGACTAGCACTCCCTCACAATCTACATCCACGGAACCCGTTTCACTAGAGACCTCCTCGCAGAAAAGTACATCACAAGCCGATCCTTCATCTAGCAGCAGCATCCATACTTCTGGTCTCTCATCTACCAGTTCCTTCTCAAGCGGAACAAAAATCCCCATTTCAAAATCGCTTACTTCCACATCCCATCCCCTCGAACCGACACCCTCTTCACCCGCAGAATCCCTCTCCCCAAGCAAATTAAGCGTGTCCCCCGAATCCAGTGAAACAACTCCCGCAACGATCTCAGAACTCCCAAGCAGTGCAGATATCCATCCCTCGCCCTCATCCGCAATAAAAACATCTTCCATCTCTTCCCTCTCTTCCAATTCAATCCCCGAAATTACACCCGGACCCACGACCCCCAGTTCTTCCGCCATTATTACTTCTGGAGCCATCCCATCTACTTCAGTCTCCGAATTGACTTCACAAGTAATCTCTACCGAAACTCACATAGCTTCCAAGCCATCAGAAATTACTCCTTCGCCTTCTCCCTCCACCGTCACAACCCAAGTAATTTCTACCGGACCCCTCACATCTTCTATACAGCCCGAAATCACACTGCCTTCCTCGGAATCTTCGCTTTCCAGGACCATCTCTTCAACTATCATCTCCGAGGCGATCTCTAAAAGTACTTCCACCGAAGCCCTCACATCTTCCACCAAACCCGAAATCACACCTTCATCTCCCGTCTCCGAAGAAATTCCTCAAAGCATTTCAACCAGCTCCTCAACATCTTCCACTCAACCCGAAATCACACCTGCTCCTTCCAACCCCTCCACTTCCGAACTCAATCCATCAACTCCAGAAACCAAATCCACTTCGCAGGCCATTTCCACAGGATCTCTTACCTCTCCCGTAGAGCCTGAGATTACTCCACCTTCATCTCCATCCCCATCGGAAACATCTGAGCCATCAAAACCAACCGAAGCCTCCGGACCAGCCGAATCACCCGATCCAATCGAAACATCCCAGCCAGAAACTCCAGAAAATAATCCAACCGAAACTGCCATTCCCTCCTCAACCCCAGCTCCTTTATCCACATCAATCGCTTCGTCTCCCGCTTGTACAGCCACCACAGGAGGAAATTGCTCTACATGTTATCAATACTCTGGTTCTGGCGATATCTCGCTTTCTCTCTCCAACAGTACCACTTTGCAATCTCGCAAATTGCCCCCAACAATTGCTGGTCGTATATCTACTACCGATCTACAGTCAAAGGTATCCAAACGAGCCACAAGATCATTTACTTCGTTTGACGCTGCCAATTCGTGTGTTTTTGGTTCCGTGGATGTTCCTTCGATTCCTGGTATGTATACCACTCCTAAAGCCCACGAATTAATCAAAGATTGTAATTTAGCTGATCTGATATATGAAGATGCATCTACTCTAGTCAGTAAAGCAGGTACTCAAACAGAGTACTGGTATGTTTTGCAAGATACTCCTGTGAACGCAACGATCTGTCCCGCACTTGGCTTTACAAAAGTTACCGACGCAGCGCTTGCTTCTCAATTGATAAATTCAAATGCGGTTGGGTATACAAAGGCTGGATCGGGAATTGGTTGGAAAACGAATGCTCCTAGTAAGTTTCTGTCTCGAACGAATAATCAGCTCTTACAAGCAGTTGATTAGCATACTGTTACTTTTGCCTAACAAATTTCTAGCCGTTGACGTAGATAGTGTTTGTGAGTATCAGGTATCCTTTTTATAGTAGTACGAGAGCATCAGGCTAATGACATTATCTATAGATGATTCCATAATTCTGCAAAGCTTCTTCGCAAGTAGAGTCAACAGCAGCAACTTTGCAGCTTTCAAGGCTATTTTTGATCAGTCAGACACTGTCAATGCAGGAAAATCTAGGTTACAGACTATTTGGAAGTAAGTCCACGAATCACCTCCTCAAGTATCCACGGCTTTTCTAACATAGATACAGTGCACTCCCTAGTGATACCAATCCCGACTATGCTGGAATAGATCAAAAGGTATTTTCTTCAATTCAAAGGTCATAAGATACATGACTAACAAACAAAAAGATAAGCACTGTCAAAGCACAAGCTTTCACAGGTGAATTGCGATAAAGTTATACCAGCAACGATGAGAAATTAGCATATATTTCAGAAGTAGCCGTGGCAATGGCCATTACCAATAATGATGCCATCGCGAATCTGTTTCAAAGCACCAATCTTCGTGTTTACAAAGCACTCCTTGCTATCGATGCCGTTATTGGAGCTACCAATAGTACCACCACGGCCGGTATTAAAGCAGACGTAAGTACTACCTACTATCTCTTTGCGCACCATCGTATCATATGTATTGCCTTTGATCGATACGAGGACAATAAGAAAGTCCATAATCGATTACCCCACGAACAGTATCTCACGATGTCTCCTTTCAACTTCAAGGGAAAAGCTAACACTCCTCTCTCTCAGTGGGCATCAACCTACCGCACCTACCTCACTAACTTCCTAACCACCCGCTCCTCGATCATCCTCTCCCAAGTCTCCAGCTACCTTGATAATGATCTTGGACCTGCCGCCAGAAATGATAACGTCACACTTTCAGATGGAACGGTATCGACGACTGAAGATTCCATTGGAAAGGGTGTCGACGCCTTACTAAATGCTTATCCTCTGGCTACTGCTTTCGCATTTGACCAGGCCAAGTTATTAGGGTTTCCTAGTGTGTAGGTAAAGGTTGTAGCATGAATTTGAAAGGGAAGACTGAAAGAGGATAGAGAAGGTTTGTTAAAGATTGAGGCTTGATAATGGTGTATGTTTGATTTTGATTTTGGAAGACCGTTATTTTGAATGATTGACTTATTTGTATTCTTCGTCACTTGTAAAATATAATTTTTTTTCTTTTTTCCACGTTTTGTATTCGATTCTTCAATCTAAAAATGAGAGAGCAATGATGAAATAAATAATGATCAACACGGAAACTAAGGCTACCTAACCTCTAACTAAGCCTTGCTACGCATGGACCATACAAGGCTGACCGAATTCCCCTCACCAAAGCTCCCACCCTGACTCTCCATCACAACTGCCGTCATATCATATCACATCACATCACAACACAACTCAATCCCCAACTCAAAATGAGTACTCTTCACACTCAAACTTCTGTCACCTCTGCCAAAACCTTTAAATTTCCGCGCGAACATTCTTTTCCTCCCTTTTTCACCCTCCAACCTACCTCTTCGACTCTCCATGCGCAACTGCGCAAATGGAGCGATTTAATCCTTTCCTATTTTGCGTTTCATCGTTTGTTTCGTCTTACGGTTTCTACATTGTTATCTTCCGAGTTATTCAGAAATGAGAGGATCAATAGGAGATTGGATGAAGAAGGTTTGAGAGAGGTATTGGAGTTTATGAGAAAGGAGGGGAGAGTGGAGTGGATTGGCGGAGGGGGGAATGGGAAAGTAGGTGGAGATATATGTTGGGTTTGGTGGAGGAAGGTAGATGAATGGGCGAGAGTTATTGAGGAATGGGTGGATGAGACGGGCCAGAGAGGGAGTGTATTGACACTTTATGAGTTGGTTGAGGGAGAGGGAGGCAGGGGTGCTGGTATGTTATTTGTTTTTGTCTTCTGGTTATTTGGGTTTGTAGGGGAGTATGCTAACGGATGGATTGGCAATAGAATTCCACGGGTTAGATACGGAAATATTACAAAAAGCATTGGCGATACTGGTGAAGAGGGGAAAAGCTCAAGTTTTCGGACAGGAAGATCAACAGGGTGTAAAATTCTTTTGAGCCATAGGAACTTTCCAGAATTCATACAAGGCTAGGATCCAAAGTCTTATACCATGCGTTGCGGGACGATTGAAATAAGTGTCGAGGATTGATCAATTCTTTGAGTGGGAGCATTCCGCATTTGCATTCGCATAAGGAGGGAGGAACCATTTTACTGAAGCTTCTTTCCCCTTTTGAATCTTCAATAGGCCTCCACCGAACTTTGCCCGCACCAGTATTATCAGTCAATACTTCAGCACACGCAGCCCAAGATCCTTTCCATGCCTGTCTTCCAGAAAACCCTTTAATCGAGAAACATACAGGAGGTCACCACTTTAACCATGGTACACACACATAACAGTGCGTAGTCTCACAAGAAAGTAACCAGAGTCAAAACGACTCTTTCGGGAGCAAGGCCGACCCAAAGATCACAATCCGAACCAAGCTACATGTAGCCAGAAAGTCGAAAGGAAATTTGAACGCAAGAGCCAGTTTGTAGCGTTGGGGCCTAGACCTAACGAATGGAAAAAAAATCTTGTCCCGCGTCACCGTGTATCGTCTTTTCCCGCTGTCTCCGGGGGACGTACCGAAATTAGATGGAGAATAATATTCGTCCTTCAGCTGGCCTGGGTAGAATGCTAGCACGCATGGAGACTAGCACCATCGAGTCTCATCGACCATCCCTTTTTCCTTAGCAATAGATTTCTGTTTGATCTGCGAGATTTTCTGATGGGTACTTGGAAGTAAGTACTGGATGGAGCCTTTTTTTCTTAAGATGGAAATTGGAGGGATTAGTGAGTGGAATGAATGAAATGGAATGGGTTATTGGGGGGGAATATTGGATTGTTTGTTGGTTCTTTTGGTAGGTATATCTTATATCTTATAAAATTACACAATGTACATACAGAAGTAGATAGGGAGGTATGAGATTGGAATAATTGGAATACATAACCAGGCAGGAAACCTCATGTTGATACCATACCATCATCCCATGTCTACCTAGTACCTACCTGGCATATTGTATATATTTAACTCTAGGAATACCTACCAGTAATCTTTCATGGATCATCGAATCATATCATCGATTGGTGTAATTGAGTGATGGTTTCCCGTCCAGCAAGCCTCTTCCTTGTAGGAATCGATAAGGAAAATAGGTACTTTATTAATATATTGTACGAGTGATATGGTGGATTTGTCATTTGATGGATGGATGATGGATGGATGATGGATGGATGATTGTTTTTTGAGTTGGATTGAATTGAACTTTGTTCAGATGAATGAATGAATGGGTTCCCCCGCTTGTGTGTTTGTGTGTGCGTTGATGTGTGGAGAGGAGAAGAGAGGAAAGGTCTGGGTAGGTGATTGGATTGGGTTGGATTGGATTGGTGGGAGGAGATGATTGGTAAGGTAATATAATGTAAGTAAGTGGCTTATGAGAATTACGTAGATGGATGATGGGTAGGTAGGTAGGTGAGTAGGTAGGTAGGTAGGTACGGAAGTAGGTACTAGAGAGGTTCTTGGTGTTTTGGCTTGCTCTTGGGTTAAAGTGCTTTGGGATGGGAGATGGGGGAATATAATAGAATTGTATTGGGTTCTTTGGTGATTGGGTATTGAGGTATGGAGGTATGGAGGTATTGAGGTATTTGGGTATTGAGGTATGGAGGTGGAAAGGACATTCAAGGAGAGAGATGGATTAATGGGAGAATGGATAGATAGGCTCCAAGTAGTATGTATATGTGTGTATGTGTACGAACGAGTATGTAGGTAGGTAGGTAGGTATATACTACCAAGCGCCACAACGGTCGATGTGAATGGATTTGAATTTGATTTGAAATTTGAAAGCTACTCACTCTACGATATCCTACCCATGAATCTGCAGAATTTGACTGACGAATGAAAAGTGTCGGGTGCCTGGATTTATCTCCGAGGTGTAACTACCTTTTTTAATATATTTATATTATGGATGATTACTCGGTAAAGGTTGGTGGTGGTTGATTCGATTCGATTCGGACGGTTTTGGGGGTTTTATTTACGAAGTACTGTAGGTACCTTTCGTTTCCCCTTTCTCGTCTTTCTTCTAGTTGTCGGATTGGCGGGTGTGAGCATTAGTTAATTCACATCTGGTTACTTCGTTCCCCAGTACTTGATTAATTAAGGATCCGAGTTGTCATTATGCATACTCGGTACATACACATACCTAGGTACACATACACTTCGATGTCCCGATGTCTCTTCTCGATTCCTCCTCATCTAATTTTGCATTCACCGCTATTAGATGTGTGGGATCTCTTATCTCTCTCTGCACTACTAGCTACGAACTACTCGTACCAGCTAGTTACTCACTCATTGATAGAACGGGTTCCAAACTTCCATACTTCCAAACTCAATTCTTGAGAGATCGGTCGCAGCGGGAACAATAGACTGGTTTACTTCGCTTGCTTTTGGGTTTGGATAGTACACGACCACTTGAATGATCGTCAACTAAGAGGGTGTAGTCGTAGATGGAGATGCAATGGATGGAGATGGAGATGGAGATGGAGATAAGAAATGTTTCAAGGAGGGAGGAGAGATCTCTTGGATTGAATGATATGATAAACTTTTATATTTGACTTCCTTCACTTCCTTGATTGACTATCTTGACTACCTTGACTACTTTGACTATTTAACCCTTCCTGTCTACGTATCTCTGTTTATGTATTGGATATCTTTCTATATGTAGATGTACAATAGACACAACTCACATACTCATTACTTTTATACATATAAGTTTATAAACTTGTAAACATATACATATTCTCATCTTATATACGCATTCATATACGCACTTATATACACATTTATATACATATTCATATACATATTCATATACACATTCATATACACATTCATCTCTTCTCAAAATATCAGAATCAGGGGAGGGAGTATTATCTATCCCCAGTTTGTTCGAATCTTTCTTCCACGACCCACCGATTTGCTAAATGAAGCATTTGAAATGATCCACCGAATATCATTTACGACCACATTAAAAAGTTAAAAGATTAAAAGATCAACTCAATCCTTACAGATTTGAGGTCGCGACCGACTTCTCGAAATTCTCTTACCCTTGTTAATTACGAAAGTGGGAAATCAATTATACTTGAGGGCTTCTTTTTGGTTGTTGCTGTTGTAAATATTATTATTGTTATTGTTATTGTTATTATTATCATTACCATTATCATTATCATTTCGCAATTGCTGTTTGTAGATTCTTGATTTTGAATCTTCTTTACAGTTATTACTTTTTTTTTTAAGAAATAACTTCAGAATTCACTTCAAACTCGGCTTTGTACACTTTTCATCACCATTTCTCCAATTCATTTTATCGAAGAAGTTGGCTCCAAAGCATCTATCTCATCCCTCCATCAATCCAACACTTTGCACTCTACTACACACTCACCACCAGCTTTGCTTGCTCTTCACTCTTTCTATCTGTCTTTCTTTCCTTCCTTCCTTATCTAGAAACGAATCATTACGGAGAACGAACCCATAGAATATATCTCTTCTCTTCCCCCCACGAAAGAAGAGCGAAAACAAAAAAATATCTTTTTCATTTGAGAGTAAACTCGACCGACAGCTTCTACAGCAGCAACACTCATTACAATCCAATACTAGTACATCAACATCAACAATAATATCAATTTCATTTTCACTACGTCCATCACCACCTTTTACGACAACTTTCATTCATTACAATCGTTAATTTCTAAAAATAAAAATAAAGCATTATTTATTTCCTGGCTTTTGTTACTCTCGTTCAATCAATCAGTCAATCAAGCTTTCAAAAAGCCCTCGTTCTACTCCAATTCAAATCAATTCACTCCTCACTTCAATTCCACGTCGATAAATTCACAAGATTCGAATTTAAATCAATTTCCATTCCTTCCTTACTTCCTTCGGAACAAGCCTCAAAAACCGATAATCCATCAATACGTAACACAACATAATCAGGGGGAGCAGGTATCATCTCATCTTTTCGAAACGGTAAATCATCATACCGCCTCCACCTTCTCCTCCTCCTCCTCCACTTCATCCCAGCTTTCAATTCAATACCGCCAAAATAGCTACCTTACGAGAAAACCATTACCCTCAAATTCCATCTTTTGAAGATGCGATGATCTATTCAAATGATGCGGGTTATCCAACATCAATGCCTGGCTCGCCCCCCGAATTAACGGGATCGAAATCCTCCTCATTTCATTCCTCGTACCAATCCGATAACGATGAAATTCTCTCCGATGTCAATCATTTCGAAGAGATTGGACTCGACGACGAATCAAGAATTGACTCCGACATTGGGGAATTCGCCGTCAAAATGTCGACAAATCCATACTCTTCAACATTCACAACTGACCTGCGAAGTCAAGCAAAGCAACAGCGACAACAACAACGAACTCCCATGTCTGCCACACAGGGGAATACTAGAATTCCACGAGATTTGACATCGACTACAAAAGGTCGTCAGGGTTATCCAACATTGAGGTCACAGATAAGAAATGCGGCATCGGATGGCTTGGCCATTGTTCCTGTACCCAGTTCATCAGCAAAAACCAGAAGAGGATTGAGTAGCCCCAGTGCACCTGTATTAGCGACTACACTTACACGACAGCGAAGTTTGAGCCCAAATATTAGCGCAAGTCCAAGAAGTAGTATATCCGGAGCTTCCGCGAAAGGAAGAAGAGGCAGTTGGGTTTCGAATCGAGAACGAAAGACTATACAAGAGTTAGAAAAGGAATGTGATGAGGATGATGGAGATGATGTACCCGATGAATGTCTTTTGGAAAATGTGCCAATATCGCCGCGGCCTCCACAAGAACGAACGAGTGCTGCACCATCAGCATCGACGAGTCCTGAGAGACCGGCGAAGGAGAAAACAAAGCCACTTGGAAATGGAACTTCTGCCAAACCGGCAGAACAGGGAGAACTTAGATCACCACGAGCGATCATGACACGAGGAGTAACGACGGGACAATTTCCAACTAATCATTTTAATTCTAATAAACCTCGGGCAAAGAGTTGGAACGAAGCTTTGTCGGATTTGAGTGAAGAAGCAAAGGCTTTGACAGAAGCTTTGGAGGCACATGCGGAGGATGAAGAAAGAAGGGATTCTGATACTCATAATTACCATCGTTCAGCCAAGCCAACCCGAGTGAAATCATCATTCGCCGAATTACCTCCATTACGAAGAACTGAACTGATGATTGATCCGCTACCTATATCAAAGGAGAAGGAAGCCGTTCTTTCGAGGACGAGGCCATCATGGCTTCCGCCAAAGGATCCAGCTGAGGAAAGACGACATCTCAAAGAATATCAAAAGATGATGGCATCAGCAGAGAAAGTGGAGCGTCAGAGAGAATCCGAAAAACGTAGCAAATCAACTTGCAGAGATGACACAGCAAGTTCTTTGTTACGGATTTGGGAAGAACATGTTTTACCCAATTGGGATGATGTGATAAGACAACGAAGAACGAGAGAATTATGGTGGAGAGGCATAGCGCCAAGAAGTCGTGGAGCCGTGTGGTTAAGAGCGATTGGAAATCCCTTGGGGTTATCTGATTCATCATATACTGCTGCTCTTCGAAGAGCTCAAGCTTTAGAAACGAAAATCAAGAGCGGTTCCCAATTAAATGCGGAAGAGGAGAGGAAGAAAGGTTGGCTTGAACGAATTGAGAGAGATGTCAAGGAGACATATCCTGAATTACGAATATTTCAACCCGAAGGTCCTTTGCATGTGGCATTAATGGATGTTCTCAAAGCTTATTCCATGTACAGGAGTGATGTGGGTTACGTACATGGAACAAGTGTAAGTCACAATTCTCTTTTTTTGTCTACCTTTTATCCTTTAAAAATGGAAAACTAATTCTTGAGTAGACAATCGCAGCCATACTTCTTCTCAACCTTCCCGATCCTTCCTCGTCTTTTCAAGCTCTCTCAAATATTCTCAATCGACCTCTTCCTCTGTCCTTCCACACCAATGACTCCGGCGCCATCTCTCGTGTTTATGACCTCTTCCTCACCACTCTATCACAAAAGTTTCCACGTCTTCATTCTCATCTCACATCGGAAGAATTAAACTTTAATCCAGATGTTTACCTTCGTGATACGTTTGTATCTCTATTCACAAGCTCGATATCCTTTGATAATGCGAGTAGATTATGGGATGTAACAGTTTTTGAAGGCGATTCAGTATTGGTTAGAGCGGCGGTGGCACTTTTTGGATCTTTGGAAAGTAAACTTCATAGCGTTAGTAATGATGAAGAAATTTTGGAAGTTCTTCGAGGGGGAATTGGTGCTGAGGGAATGGGAGAAGAGGATTGGATTACAGCTGTTAGAGGAGCTGGGAAGTCGTGAGATTATTTGTAGATGGATTGATGGGTAAAAGGAGTTTGGAGCGAGTTGATTGGGCATGAAAAGGAATTGCGAGGAAAAGATGGATGAATGAGTGGAATGTACAGTACCAGTCCAGTCGTCCTACATACAATTTCGTGTAGGTGTACAGTAGTTTAGATGTGGAAGCGATGATCAATCGATCGATCGATCGATCAATCAACTTTTAGAGGATTTCATGTTTTCTGTTTTTTGATGAGGTGAATAGTTCAATCTAATTATGAAAAATGTGGTGTGCATGTTTGATACGGCGGAGCGGAGCGGACCGGAATCCTCACGATCATGTCATGCCATGTTGATATCAGCTGATATGTATGTGCGTATCTGTAGGTATATCATATCGAATGCGTGCGTGAGTGAGTGAGGGTCGATGGGATGGTGTGGTTTCTCTCTCTCTTTCTCTTGTGGTTCTAGAACGAATGAGCTAGATATGTGATGACATGATACGATACCATACGATATGATACCATACGATAATCGGGAGAGGTTGAGGAGGGGTGAAGAGGGGTGAAGAGGATTGGTTTCCGTGATGTACCGAGAGATGTGCAACAAAATGAGAAGGGAGGGAGGGTTGAATGGATTGTGAAGGGAGGAATAGGGAGGAGTAGGGAAGAGAGGGGATTTTTCGGATGCGGATGGATGGATGGAAGGGGATGGATAGGAAGGGAAGGGAAGGGGATGGATGGATGGATGGGGATGGGGATGGGGGAGGGAAAGGAAGGGAAAGGAAGGGGTGGCGAGTGTGGATGTGGATGAGGAGGGATGAAGAGGGATGGAGAGGGAGGTATAGATTGGAGATGAGGTTGAGGGTTGAGGTTTGTTTGTTGGTGTGTGTGTGAGAGTGAGAGAGAGAGGGGGGCGAATTGTTGTGGGTGATGTGTGATGAGATGAGATGAGGAGTGATGAGGAGTGAGGTTCTGAAAGGAGATGAGGAGTTGGAGTTGGAGTTGGAGATTTTCATGTGGAGGGGGGGTTATGGTATTTACTATGCATGAATTGGATGAATTGAATTAATGAAGTGAAATGATGGAAATGATGGAAATTATAATTGTTGAGGGATGGGGATAGAGAGAAATTCAAGAATAGGGGATTGAGTATTGAATATATAGGATATATACATTTTTACAGAATTGTTTCTATTTTATGTCTACTTTTCCGGCTGGTATACTTTTTCTCTACCTGTTGGAGGGTGAATACCTAGGTAGGAGATAAGTGTTTATTGTTTAGTATTTATTCATTCATTCATTTATTCCCGACTGGTGAACTCGTTGTATAATACGAAGCAAGTAAGCGAGTAAGGAATAAGTAAGATGGATATTTAAAATGAAAAAAAAGGGGGTGGGAGATGGTGATATTCATACGTTTATTTATTCATTCATTCATCTATTCGTCTATTCATCTACATCTACGAGTAGGCATCCAGGTATCCATCTAGATACTTGTATATACCTCATCTCTCAGAAATAGGGGAAAAGAAGAGCTTTCCAATAATCCATCGATCCCGACTTTTGTCTTTCGGTTGAGAGTGCCGGGGATGTATCAGGATATGATATCGTATAGATGTATCGTATGATACATATGCATTTCATCTCGCCCGCACCTGTTTTTCTCTCCGTACCTACCTACCTACCTACCTACCTGCTTTACTCATACACCATACCTTGCAAATCATATATTATACATCATAGTACAAAAACACATACATACATACATACGAACCGAACAATGTCTTGAGCTACCTAGGTACGCAATGCTGGATATAGATGCAGGCGGACATCGGTTCTCGTTGTGTTTCGTTGTGGATCTTTGCTCGTGTGTGTGTTTTGATCTAATATACTCTGTACAGTCGATTGATTACTGCGGTTTTTCGATCGGTGCGGAAATGCATGGATGGAGAGATGGAGGGAAGGAGGGACGGACAGTGGAGTTTGAGAGCTGGTGCGGCTAAAGGGGAGGGGTAAGTGGCACACGGTCAGATACACCATCAAGTAATCGAGAGCCATTTAGCTAGTTACTGCGGACTTCTTATTGGTGTGTTAGGCGTACCTTGAGGAGGCGGGTGAGGAAACCAGAAGGAAAGAAAGGGAGAAAGAAATCTAGATGATTGACTGACTTCATGGGGTTGCAGTCTCGGAGTCGATATTCTATAGATCGCGTTTTTTTTTTCTCGTCAAGGGAACCTGTCAGAGAAGAGAGAAAGAAAGAAAAAAAAACGATATATCTCTATAAACTTTCATATTTCGAAATAACAGGTAGCATGTTTTGCTGTATATGGATAAATGACTACCCCAATGTTGGAAAATCTCAAAGAAAAATCTCACAAAGATCATTCATCAAACTGCAATTTCAAGTTCTTTTAATCTTTTGAATTCCTATTCCTTACTTATTCATCCACTCCAATCCCAATCCCAATCCCTAACAGGGGAGCAGCGTGAGCGCTCAACCCATATGCAAATACTATAATATGAACCCTATACAAATAATCCCAGAAGCATCTTCAATCCTCTCCTTCCCCATAATCCCCAGCTCTATAGCCTTCTTCTCATTCCCAAAAAGTTAGGATAATAATATACATAAATGTTTCAACGATAGAAAGTTAAGTAAATGGTGGTATGTAGGTGAAACCAAAAAAAAAAAACAAAAAACAAAAAACACACAAATGCCTCTAAACGCCTGCCTGACTGGTATTTCCTCCCTTCCTCTCGTGATTCCAAACACATACATATATCTCTGATTCTCTCTTAATCTGCCGTAACGCCATTGCTTGCCAAGGAGAAAAATGAATGGGGTATGCCAAATGATAATGATAATGCAATCCATGGTATGCTTTCGAAAACAAAAAAAAAACCTCAGAATGAAAAATCTTCCTCGTCGTCATCTTGTCTTTTTCCTCGTTGATCTCAATGATTCTTAACTCTTAACACCGTACATGCATCTCTCATTCTCATCTCATCTCGTAGCTCATAGTACTACATATCCATTAATCCTTCCATATCTCATGAAAATCTCGTTTTGTCTGGGGTCTAGTAGGTAACTAGATGGGCTCAATGCCCGGCGTGATGATATGATGAAGTATCACTACTCTATCACAGCACTGCAATATGAAGTTCTTCCATCTTCCATGCCAGTGGAAGATATCCAAGTCGAGGTTTCTAGATCAACAAGAAATCCCAACCCTTCATCTGCATTACCTCTCTCCAGGAGACATAATGTGCTTCACCACCACCAGGACTATATCTACCATCCACATGACTCCAGACTTCCTTAAGAAGAGTCGATACGCGACCGAAACTTCCTTGGTTGGCGAGATCTCCGAGAGCAGCGAGACGCTCGGCAAAATGGTGACGGAAGGGAGAATGAGTAGTACTGACAGAGCCTCCAATGAGATAAACCCACACGAGACTACGATCGTAGCCTCCAGGTCCAGCGGGGATATATTCAAGTGCTTGAGTCAGTTTGTTAACCAAACCAACGCAGCTATCTTGACTTGGGGAGAAGCCAGGAACGAGACTGCAGAGATAGATACGAGCTGCGAGACGGAACGCAGCGGTCATGTTCTTGCTCAATTGCTTGGGACTGAGAATACCATGAGCATTGAATGGAATACGGGGACCGGTTTCACCGATTTCCGTAAGCCCGATTTGATCGCCGAGAGCATGGACGTGTTGACATAGCTGAATGTCATCCATGCCATCATTCTTGAGAGCTTCCAAACATGCAATTTCGGAAATGAGATACAAAACGCGATCTTCACAGCCCATGAGTTCTCTCAAGCCGAGAGATGAGTTGGTTTGCGACAAATGCTTTTCTCTGTATGTGTGAGCAAATGTGGGTGCACGGCCTTGAATGGTCGAACCGAGGATATCGATCCAAGCCGTCAAAGTCATGTTGAAAGGCATCAGATCATGCGATTCGGTAACGAGACGTGGCAATTCGAGTTTTTGAACAAGAGAAATGGCAGCTTGGAAATGTTGATGCCATGGAATATCGGGGAGAGAGTCGTCGAATCGACCGACCGAGCATTGGAAGAAGATCATTCCCAACGTAGCTTCCAATATCGATACGTGATCAGTGTCGCGATTGAGAGCTTCGCAAAGTTCCGAGATGGTTGCATATCGGTGGCGCATGATATCGTTATCGATTTGTTCTCCTTGAATGTTCATAGTAGATTTGAAATGTTGAGCGGAGATGCTGAGACAGCAGTGTAGGTAGCATTTGTTGCTTTGGAGTGCTGGGAGGATGTAATCTGTTCGTGCGGAACCGTGTTGATTGCTTTCGAGAATTGGAAATATAGTAGGTAGAACATCTGAGACGAAATGATCGAGAAGTCTTTGATCACCCTCATCCAATTCAATGGCAACTTGGCGGAATGATGATGGTGGGCCGTGGGAGAAATCGAAGAGGTTCATGTTCAATGCTTCCTCTGCTAATACTTCATGTCTTTCATTGTATACAGTATCCCATTCATGATCAATTGGGAAGGATGGTAACATCGATTCGGGTGGTGGTGGTGGATGGAACGTGCTAAAGGTAGAGATGGTTGATTCGCGGCGAGTAGGAACATCATTAACAAACATTTGTCGTTCTGTCTTTACATCAATCTCATAAGGTGAGTATTCGGGATAAATTGCGTATTGAGAATGCGATGAGTGCATTTGCGCATTGTAAGCAGTGTAATCGGCCATGGGAGGGGCATTGAAATCAAAGAGAGATAATTGAGAATCAATTGATGATGATCGATTGCGGTCTAAGGAGTCGGAGTATGTTGCAGAGGTAGGTAATGAGTGTGTAAGTCCAGGAGGGGTATCGATACTCGATGACATAACTTGTTGTGTTTGAGCTTGAGATGGTGCGGTTGTCTTTTCCGTGAGCTTCTTTCGCTTGATGATAGTCTTGATAATCTCTTTTTGCTGGCGGCGCAACTCATTGTTTCCCCACCACGAAGGTCTCTTGTATTCACATCG